TACTCTGGGGGTGCGGTGTCTACTTCCTGTCCCACGCACACAGTATCTAACGCTTCCTCCTCTAACATCACGTCGGTACATGACCCAAATCTGTTCTGTCGTTGCCTGGGCCTTTGACCCTGTCACAATTTATTTATGTTTTTGTTATACCTGTCACAATTTATTTATGTTTTTGTTATACCTGTCACAATTTATTTATGTTTTTGTTATACCTGTCCCCAAATACACAACACAATACCATGTTTTTACCCAAACTTACAGAACACAATGCCATGTTTTTACCCAAACTTACACAACACAATACCATGTTTTTACCCAAACTTACACAACACAATGCCATGTTTTTACCCAAACTTACACAACACAATGCCATGTTTTTACCCAAACTTACAGAACACTATGCCATGTTTTTGTCCCCCCTGTAGGTTCTGCCCCATGATCTGTGCTTTGGGAAGCTCTTCTGTAAAACTGTTTTCATTCTTGTTTTCTTATATCTCATCTCTGAGGGAAAGGCAAAAGTTCTTCAATGTTTCTCATTATTGTACATTTTTATTGATCTGATTTTGGAAATAATCTTTCCTGTATGTATCGAGTTATAATTCTTTGACCAGTAAAGAGAACATTGACCTTGGGCTCAGTGTTGAAACGTTGGTGGTGAGTGTGGCGGCTGCTGTAGGGAGAATGAAGAGCTGAGGGAAGCGTTTGTTGTGGCCAATGTCACACCCGCAGATTTCCTGTCGTTTTTCTGACGAGAACTTTCTTTTTTGTGTGTATTGGTATGAGGATAAATGTCGTATTTCTTTACTATTTGTATGGTTGTATTGTAAAATCCTAATTCTACGTGTCTCTTGATATTTATGTATTGTGTGTCAGTTTGCTGTCGTTCAGACATTTGTCATTCCCCGTCATGTGTCCACGTGTCCACAGCTAACTGATTGTGATCACAGATTTGTTTCCTTCATTTTATCATGTGCAATATTTTGTTGAAAAACTAGTCTGCCAACTGTGATTGTATTTTGTCGTGGCAAACGTTTGATGGTGGAGGCTCCGATTCTGTTCTCGAAACTTGACGAATCACGAGGGGAAGGTCGAGGTACTTGACCTTCCTCCAAAATGAGTGGAGAATGTGGCTGTGTGCCCAATAACACAAGATTTGTGGGTCCATTGTGAGCCTGTGAGTGACTCTGTCCTGATTTCCCTCCCTTGTTGCAGTTTATAAGTGCCCTGGGATCGTTATCTCCTCCGGTAAAAGCTACGTCGGGAATGCGTGCATTCAGCTGTCTTGTTAGCCTGCTCACCATGTAGCCTCCATCTGCTGCCGTCTCACGCTCGCCCAGCTTAGCTTGTTTGGTTTTGTTTTGTGTAGCACGTTAGGGTCGGCCTGTGACCCCTGCGGGGTGTCTTCAGAGGTCATCTCTACTTTAGGTCATCTCTACTTTAGATCATCTCTACTTTAGGTCACATCTCTACTTTAGGTCACCTCTACTTTAGGTCACATCTCTACTTTAGGTCACATCTCTACTTTAGGCCATCTCTACTTTAGGTCATCTCTACTTTAGATCACATCTCTACTTTAGGCCATCTCTACTTTAGGCCATCTCTACTTTAGACCATCTCTACTTTAGACCATCTCTACTTTAGGTCACATCTCTACTTTAGGTCACATCTCTACTTTAGGCCATCTCTACTTTAGGTCATCTCTACTTTAGATCACATCTCTACTTTAGGCCATCTCTACTTTAGGCCATCTCTACTTTAGACCATCTCTACTTTAGACCATCTCTACTTTAGGTCACATCTCTACTTTAGGTCACATCTCTACTTTAGGCCATCTCTACTTTAGGTCATCTCTACTTTAGATCACATCTCTACTTTAGGCCATCTCTACTTTAGGCCATCTCTACTTTAGACCATCTCTACTTTAGATAATCATATTGTAATTGTAGTGGAAATTGTATACGCTATCGTAGAGGAAATGTAGATGATATTGTAGAGGACATGTAGATGATATTGTAGAGGACATGTAGATGATATTGTAGAGGACATGTAGATGATATTGTAGAGGACATGTAGATGATATTGTAAACGCTATGGCAAAGAAAATGTAGATGATATGACAGAAGAAGTATAGATGATATTGTAGCTGGTCTTGTGTGCATGAAGACCGTAGAAGGTTTTGTTCAAATCTTTGGCTCAGAGACTGTGGAATGTTCCAAATGTTCCTTGTGATGACTTGTGCAGTCGTTCCTGAGAGTTGACACAGGACAATGTTTGCAATGTCCGAGCGCGTCCGGGTGTGAGAGTGGAAGCTGTCAGAGCTTGTCCGCGTCGGTCACTGGTGTGTTCTGACAGCTTTCCTTCAGGTGGATGAGAACTGGACAACGCACGTGTCATGATAGACTGATGTGTTAAACAGAACTGGACAACGCACGTGTCAGACTGATGTGTTGATGACAACTGGACAATGCACGTGTCATGATAGACAGATGTGTTGAATAGAACTGGACAACGCACGTGTCATGATAGACAGACGTGCTGATGTGGACATAACAATGCTGATGTCTCAAACAGGATGACTGAAAGTACCCAAGTAGCCGTCATGTTGTGATGGCAGTGAGAGTTGTCCCGGTCATGTTGTTGGG